GAGCTGTGGCTGGAGAGTTTAATGAATACATGGGGACAAGATTGCTCCACTCCCTTCAGATATGACCTTCAGCCCTTACTCTCTCTGGCTGGTCAAGTGGTCAAAACCTTCCCAGCTTCAGTTGCTATCTTCACATAAACCCTGTGTGTTTTGTAGTCGGTTTCTCTTGGCTATTTTGTGGTTCATCTGTTCTCAGTGTTATCAGACGCCCCACTACTACCTTCTCTTTCTTCGTACACAGATGCTGATATCATTGTGCTCCTTTGGCTCTTGACTGTTTGTCCTTCATTGCTTATACTTGGGGTTTGAGGTGATACCTTGTCATCATCTTTTTTCAACAATGATCATGGTTTTTTCCCATGGTTTTACTATCTAGTTGGTTTGTCTATTTTTGTGGGTATTTGGAAAGATTCGCCTATGCCCCTACCATATCTTCCTAGAATTCCGTTTTTACATTCAATATCTTATATCAGAAACTGTATATAACAATTAGCTATTTGTTATGACATGAAAACACAGGGCATCTAAAATGTGTGTGTGTGTTTTTAACCTCCAAGGAACTTTAGTTCAGCACCTAGAACACCAATCAGATAATATCAAGGATTGTCCCCTTGATCAAAGGTGCTAGCTAAGAAAACTATACTAATAATGAACGATTGCTGTGAAGCTCTGTTATATTTGTTTGTAAAAAATCAACTCCTAGGAGAGAAATGTGGACAAGTAGACATGTAGACAACTTCACAGGGTCAGTATGTCAAGATGGTTAAGAGTGCAGACTGGAGCCAGACTGCTTTTAAGTTCAAGTCCAGCACTGCATGCATCAAGAAAGCTTGAATTCTCAGAATGCCAATGAATTAACTTTCTGAGTTCTACCTAAAGTTACTTAACCTATCTATGCCTCAGTTGTTTCATCTGTAAAATGGAGATAGTAATGATATGCTTATCTCTTACAGTTATGGTGACCTAGCACATAATAAGTGCTATATAAGTGTTGACTAACATTACTGGCTATTTTTTCCATTAGAATTTCTACATTCACTAAAAATAACTCTCATATCTTGAATATGAAATGAACAGAAGCATTGTGATTAGGAATATGTGGTTTCCCATGTACATCCTTTAACCCAACTCAAGTAACCCTGCCCTTCCCAATGTCTTGAATGCTTCAGTCATCACAAAGTTTCCTAAAGGAGAATTGTGGGAGGATCAGGGGATTAAAGCAGCATTAAAGTAACCACCTCCCTTTTAAAAAATGTCATTCTCCAGAATTAAATTACTTTGCGTTTGGGCCATTTAAAGCAGGATTTTAGGTTATATTCTTGGCCCAACTATTTATCACTGTGACACCTGCAGATAACTTCAATTTCCACCCAATTAAAATATGTAACTTTTCCCCCAGTTTTCCAGAGTGTTCCTTTTTTTTTTGCTTTACACATGGAGACTTTTTCAGAGAGATTCATTATAAGTAAGAGGCCTTCCTCTGACTAATTCCTAATTACTGGCAGATTCACACCCCCAAGTGCTTAAAGTAATTTTTAGAAGAGAAGAAAGAGATAAGCCTTTGCATGCTTCAAGAAATCTCGAATTCTCCGAATGCCGATTAACTAATTTTCTGAGTTCTACCTGAAGTCCGTGAAAAAAATGAAACTCGGGCTTCCCTGGTGGCGCAGTGGTTGAGAGTCCGCCTGCCGATGCAGCGGACACGGGTTCGTGCCCCGGTCTGGGAGGATCCCACATGCCGCGGAGCGGCTAGGCCCGTGAGCCATGGCCGCTGAGCCTGCGCACCCGGAGCCTGTGCTCCGCAACAGGAGAGGCCACAGCAGTGAGAGGCCCGCGTACCGCAAAAAAATGAAACTCCTTTCCCATTTACTTCATGACATTCCTTTTTGCATGAGAAAAATATCCGAGATTAAACACCTTCATTCATTGCTTTGTCTTTTGAGCCTTCTTTGTCCCTTTAACCACTAAAACATACTTTAAAAAATTGGGAACAGTTAACTTTGTGATTCAATTCTTTTCATGAATTGTATAACACAGACTTTTCTATGCCCTTTTTTCTTAAAGAAAACATCAAATTAAAATTCCCCTGGGGTATCTTCCTATCTTTTAACTTTAGGCTGACAAATCGGGCTGCATCCCACTAATGTTGACAATGGTACACTACACATGCTGGTGAGCAGTGAGGAAGTACAGCACATCCTGGGTGTCCTCCCCATAACACCCCAGTCACCCCTGAGCCGAGAGCAGTGACACTGCCTGCTGACCACGTCTAGTCACGCTCCATCCAGGGGACAGAACTCTGAGTCATTCTTTAAATTTCAGTGTCCTGTACTCTACCATGGGAAAGAGAACATGTATAAGGCCAAGCAGGTAAACACCATCAGAGGAAGTTCTCAAATAGGATTTGTATTATTTTTACTTAGTTTTTCTTTTCTTCTTCGACTTTAGACACTGAGTATGAATGACTCAACACAACGCATTCAGACCACTAATGCGTCCTTACATGGACTCATTTGTGGGACTATTCAAGACCTCCTCTGAAGGGCCAACAGAGAACAAAACTGCAGAACAGAAGTGAGAATCAGGTTTCCAGTGAGGCAGGAAACAAGTAGGAAGTACAAAGAATATACCAGTATCTTAAAAATTTCTCATTAGTTCTGCAGAGACTAGCCAGCTCTCATCAGACCAATTTCCTCTTCCTCTTGGGCACAAAGATGAACACTGGTTCCTGGCCTTGCTGTCAGTGAGATGGGGCTGCAGCAGTTCTGGGTAAGGAAATGTGGGTAGAAGTCATAACCCCCACTTCCAGACCGGGTACATATGAACTATTCTTACACCACGGTTCTTCCTCTCTTTTGCCATCTGTCTTTTGAAATCAACACCCAGGGTGACGTCGGCAGTCTGGTTGGATAATAGCAGAGTTACCTACCATCCATCTTAGTCCCCAACTGATGATCAGAAACACCAGGAGGGGTTTTATGTGAAGGAGGAATTAACTTCTTTGTGTTAAGTTACTGAGATTTTGAGATTTCTCTGTTACAGAAGTTAGTTGCCTAATACCGCTAGAGTCCTGGAAAATACAAAAATGCTCCTGACTATAGGTATGCTGGTAAAATATACTACTATAAGCAGAACTCAGTTTTTAAAAAAATGACTTTCAAAAACCCCTTATCTAAGAATGTATATACATACACACGTACATACATATGTACACATACTACTATTCATTTATTGAATAAGTGAGCAACTATAAAAATATAAAAACACTAACATGTGAGTATATGTGGGCCAGTACTGTGTCTATATTGTTCACCACTGAACACACAGTGCCTAGAATGTTGCTTGGCACATAGGAAGAATGCAACAAATATTTTTGAACACATACATACATACATACATAATTCAGTTCATGATCTCTCTTCTCTATTCTTTTCCCAGGATTCTTCACACCTCTCACAATTTCTACTATCTCCTATATAAGATCATATCCTATGATTATTAGGTTATTAACCATTAGGGTAATAATTACTGATAAAAAATGTAATTGTGATGATGATGATAATTTACTGAACACATATTGTGACAGGCTTTGCGCTAAGTGCAATTTTGTGGGTTATTTTCTTCATTCCTAACATTTCATGAAGATTTTGCAATTTTATCCTTATTACAGAAAGGAATTTGGATACATTAAGCTCTCAAGGAGTTGGCAGATAGCAAATGGTAGAAAGAGACTTAATTTAGACACTCCAACTCCAGCAGCAACTCAACTGCTTCCTACCCTAATTAACAATAACCTGTCTCCCTAATTCTAGACCTTAGAAACTCAGAGAAGGTGGCCACCAGGAATGAACTGGTGGGTATCAGGATATCAAAGCAGAGCTGTTAAGTCTGATCAAAAGCTCTTTTGTACTTTTTAAGGTCTTGTTCCCATTCAAACAAGCTTTTCATGACCGAAGTCAGGAAAGGTTACTTGTACAGAAGAATGATTTCAGAGACCTGTCCTCTCAGATGCATAAGGACAAAGAAGAGGTAAAAACCTGGACTCACATGAAAAATATAGATAAAGCTAGTTGGGAAGCTTTTCCTTTTATTATAGAGCCTAGGTTTTGAAGTCAGATGTATCTGAGTCCTAATGCAAGTCTAGTCTTTGCTTAGCTTTAATACAGTTGGGGCCAAGTGGGATCAGTTTCCTTATCTGTAAAACAGGTATAAAAATACTTACCTCATAAGGGTTGGTGGTGGGGAGGGGGTTAAATGAATTAATGTCCTTTAAGCACTTAAAAAGCGTGAAGTAGGTAATAAATTTTCAACGTGTCAACTACAGTTATTAATAGAGGTAGTTTTAATAGCATATCCTATTTCCCCCATTGGGGCTCATCCTCAGACTGAACTAAATATTCCAAATTGCCAAAATGCTTTTGAGAGTTTTATAATCACAACTCTTTTTTGGAATGTAACAGAAAACAGAAGGAAAACAGGGGTTAACATAAAAAATCTGATGCCATCAAAAGAGAAAAAATAGATTGAAATTTTCAGATCTAAAACGATTTTCTCTCAAGTTAGATTGGAGGTGTATAATTGAAGAATGCTAGAAAATCTGTGTTCCTCAAAGCAGTTACAGGCAGCTTTGACAAGCCAAAAAAAAGAATCAAGCAGCTCAGCAAAACTCCTCCTGTCTCCTTCCCACGTCCTTCACTACAAAATCTGTTATTTAAGAAGCATGTGAAAATCACTCTGAAAAACACAGCGCACATGTGTTTCTCTGAACTAACAATAGAAAAAGTTAATGGATTATAATGAAAAGACTTTACAGAAATTTTGGACATTTTACTGTTCATGAATGATTAGAAGGCTGAAATACCCCCAAATAACCTTAGATTTCTCACATTTTCTAATGACTTTATTAACTAACCTATATCCCCTTCCTACAGCTACTGCATTGTAGTAGACCACCTCTCTTTACACAATTCTGTTAGAGACCGGGGCCCAGGGCCACTTACCCACTGTTGATGTCATCAGCTCTGAGACTTTTCCCAAGGATATCACCATCACTCATATATCCACCAACATCGACTTCAGAAGACATGTCCAGGTCACTGCTTGCTTTCTCACTCATGTCAATCTGTGACATGTTTCCCAGCCGAGAGACAGCAGCTCGACGGAGAGGCGTAGTGTACATGAACCTTGAGGGGTCTGTGTGGATGAAACGACTGGTACTGCTGCGAGGGTAGCCAGCACCCAGGGAGGGAGCATCTCCAGCCTGAAGTCTAGGACATGCCTGGCCCAACCTCCAGGTCATGGGAGTGGGTCGACCTGTCAAGTTGGGTATAGTCCTGCCATTCACTTCCGTCGTCACAGTGCTGTCAAATGTTGTCTCCAAGGTGCTGTCAAATAAAATAGAGAAATCACTATATTCTGGTTCACCTGGGGCCATGGACCCAGAATGCATGAAGACAGGAACGCCTACAGTTGAGAGTCATTTCTTAGAAGTATGTCCATTTTCATGAAAGTCAAATTATACATTCATTTTGAGATTCTAAACACCTCTGCAGGTATCAAAATGTAGGAAGGGGTATTCATCACAGATTTTTTGCTTTCAAAAGAAACGCCATCATTACATTTTAGATAAAACAAAATATTGTTTCACATTCTCAACCAACCCTTAATTTAACCCATTGTAGCCTTCCCAGAACTTTTCTGGAAGTTAACTACAATTATGTTTGAAAGACACTCTACCACCTCTCCTCAGATGCATTTTAATTACAACTTCCACCGTTGTTATTTGAGGCAGGCATGAAAATCCATTTAGCAGTGATGGTGTTAGTTTCAGTAGCTAATTCAGTTTAAATGGGAAATTATACTGAAGAAGAGATGGATAGGAGAAAAAAAATCACTGGGTAGGGCTGAGAAGTCACCAGTTGACTGTCATATAAAATTTAAGTGAGAAAATAGTAAAGGAAAACTAAAATTCCTTCTTTATCATTACAAGAAGTTAAATGCTTAATTGTAATTTTTTCTTGATTGGCCCCAAAATAGGCAGAATTGAAGAAGACCTGTGACTTATCTGGGTCCCACGGAGACTGGACATAGTCTCTTCTAAATTCTGCCTCAAATCTGCTATGTTTTTAACTGTTCTCATTCTTCTTGTTTCAGGGTCTTCACCTAGAAAAGTAAGATAATAACAAATTTTTTATTCATGCCATTTACTGTCCTGTGAATAATCTGAATAATTATATAGATATAGATATGAGTTCCTTTTTGCAAAAGTGAAATAATAGGTAGAAAATTCCAAATGACTATTATTATCTGAAATTATAATTTTTTTCTACAAATAAAATGTGAATAGAAACAAATGTAATGTTACAAGTAATAATTTGAAGTGGCGATAATACAATAGTATTTCGTAGGTCTATGACCTTAATCATTGCAAAATGAGAGAGTCATTTGGAAATATACTGTACAGTGCTCCCTGTTTCTAAGCTTAATTTAAATATCTGAAACTGTTTGGATCCTAATTACTTTCATAATCATCTATTTCAAAGTGTGCTCAGAATAGCTGAGATAAACTTGACTTATGAAGCAAGTATATATTTATACTCTGGGGAATCAGACAGAGGCTTTTTCTCATAGAAGCAATATCTTTTTAAGTCTTTTATTTTATTAGACTCATGAACGAAGATCCAAGAATTGGATAGCTTTATTTTTAATTATTTCTCCACTTTCTACAGGGAATCAAAATATCCACATGTGACACCAGAGTGCCAGTAAAGTCTTAGGCATCTAATCCAGCGATAAGTCTACACATAAAATAAACAGCTCTGCCAGGGTGACAACTGTTGGCCTTGTTCAACCTCTATCTGTCATTTGGGGGCAGAGGTGCCATTCAACCATTTTGTTTATGGCCATGTAATAATTCCCAGGCCAGTGGCCATTGAAATTGGTGAATCTGGATAATAAGAACAACATGGAAAGGAAGGAGAGGAAACATAGTCTTAATTCTGTTTAATTTGGACTCAGGAGGATGCCCAGTGATGAGGATTTTTTTTTTTTTTTTTTTTTTTTTGCGGTACGCAGGCCTCTCACTGTTGTGGCCTCTCCCGTTGCGGAGCACAGGCCCCGGACGCGCAGACTCAGCGGCCATGGCTCACGGGCCCAGCCGCTCGGCGGCATGTGGGATCTTCCCGGACCGGGGCACGAACCCGTGTCCCCTGCATCGGCAGGCGGACTCTCAACCACTGTGCCACCAGGGAAGCCCGAGGAATATTAAATAAAAAGAAAGAAGGAATAAAAAAAGGGAAGGAAGGAAGCGGAATGAATGGATTAAGGGGTGAGAAGGTATAGGAAAGAAAGAAAGGAAGAGGATGGCAAAGGAGGGGATGGTAGGGAAGGGAAAGGAATGCAGAAGGGATGGAAGGAAAAGAAAAAAAGAAGGAAAAGCGAAGGTAGAAAATGGCATGTATTAAATTCCAGTATGAAAACTGTCACATAGACAAGTCAAGATGCATATCTACCATCAGTTTTAAGAATACAGGTAGATATTCAACCTGTTCATTTTTCTTCCACAATATTCATGCCAGGTTAAAAAAAAACACACACACAACAAATGCACACATTTAACATCTATAATAGAATCTTAGAGTTGATGGGGACTTCAGAGATTGTCTTGCCTCACCTCTCAGCCAATGAGGGAAAACTCTTTTTGTCACTAGCGAGGTGGCCATGGGTCTCTGCCTAAAACCTCCAAGATCGGAAAGGCTTCCTCCTCTCCAGTAAGAGGTGATTCTTTCCAATATTAGGCCAATTAGGTCTCATTATAAAAACAATTCTGAGGACGAGTAATGATTTGCCCCCATTTAACTTCCACCCAGGGGTCGCAATGGCTCTGAAACCAAATGAATAATTTTATATCACTTTACCATGGCAGCCACTCAGAAAGACAAATGCTAATTTCTTCTTCAGCCAAACACTACTACACTGTTCATTATCCTTCATCCTGAATGGTTGCCAAAACAACCACCACTCTGCTGCCAGCCTGCAAATCTCTTCCTTTTAATTTACCAATTATTTGAATGATTGAAATGCTTAATAACTGTATTATTATTTCAGATTTAGAAAGTACTGAAAAACTTCCCTAACTTCCCTGTGTGTGTGGACACACACACACACACACACACACACACACACACACAAATGGAATATTGCTCAGCCATAAAAAAGAATGAAATAATGCCATCTGTAGCAACATGGATGGACCTAGAGATTATCGTACTAAGTGAAGTAGGTCAGACAGAGAAAGACAAATATCATATGATATCACTTATAGGTGGAATCTAAAAAAATGCTACAAATGAACTTATTTACATAACAGAAACAGACTCACAGACAGAGAAAACAAACTTATGGTCACCAAAGGGGAAAGGTGGCAGAGGAGGGAGTAATATATACACATTACTATATATAAAATAGATAAACAACAAGGACTTACTGTATAGCACAGGGAACTATACTCAATATTTAGTAATAACCTATATGGGAAAATGATCTGAAAAGAATATATGTGTGTGTGTGTGTGTGTGTGTGTGTGTGTATAACTGAATCACTTTGCTGTACACCTGAAATTAACACAACATTGTAAATCAACTATACTTCAATAAAAAATAAATTAAAAAAAAGAAATAAGAATATGTTGTACATGGCACAACTTTTCTAACCCTAATTCAAGTCATACAATTTCTAACCTCATAGATTAACATTATTTTAAAATTCAGAACTGTTAATAACCCTTAAGACTCTAATTATATTTCCTCTGGAAATTCTTCCCAGCCTTCTCCTCATAAATATAACACAGCATATTTGAGAAATGGCTAGAAAGAAGTCTACCTCTTATTTCCAAACAATCTGGCAGTATGCTGAAAGAAAAAGAAGGCTTTGTAAGGAAAATCTTGAAGGGCAGAAAAAAATATCATTACAGTCAAAGGAAAGGCAGAGGTGAAGAGATTTTACTTAAAATGGCAAAAGTAACAGTGAAGGATGAGACCAAACTAGAGACACATTAAAGCTAATATACAGTCGTTTATCTAAGATTTCACACAGTAGAGAAGCCTAAGATTCTAAGTGATGGTAAGAGAAAAGTCTTAAAGGAGAAAGTGCTGAGATGACTTTTATTGGAGGGAGTAAGGTAGGCAAGTCATTTCCCTTACACAAGTTCCAAAAATACACCATTACAAGTTCCCTATCTCCTATCTCCTAGCCCCTTCCTTTGGGGAGAACTTTGACTTTGTAATCAAGCTGCATCTCAACTACTTGCCAATTGCATAATATTAGTAACACTGATATTTGAATTACTTTCAATATCTTTTTTACATAAACTTTAAGAACAGTGTATTTTCAGACATTCCATTTCACTCAGTATTTTTTAACACCTTCTTTATCTCCTTTTAAATTTCCTTCTTCCAATCCAACAGGCATCTTGGACCCTTGGATTCTTCCAATTGAATCCACTGTTTGTTTATACAGCTTCCCTCATGTTTCAGAACCATCACTCTCTCTCTCTCCATTGTTTTTCCTCCTCATGACATCTACTCATGACACTGCACCACTCACGACAGACAAATGGACCTTTTCCTCCCAATACTTACTGAGCAAAACATAATTGCTGCCTCATTCATGTCAGGAAAGATAATAACCAAACCAAAATTTCTTGCAGCAAATGTTCTCAATGACCCACGAAAGGCAAGATAAAGTTAAATGCACTTACAACCCCCCCAATGATTGCACAAGCCTGAAATATCCTGTAAATCTGTATCCAAATCCCATAAATAAATAGAGAAACGGGGGCAGGGAGGGAATCACAACTGTGAAAAGGCCAAATGTAAAAGCGCAAATACCATTAAATATTTAGTAACAAATAAAAGTTAGCAGAAAAATGCACATGAGAAATTTAGTCACAAAAATGTATCCCCTTTCACTTTTATAATCTCAAAGCCAGCTACTATTCCTGGAAGAAGCCTCCTGTCAGACAAAATAGTAAGGGCTTACACACATTTTCCAGAACGGCATATTCTGCAATTTGCTTTGAGTTTTTAACAGTGCAAACTACTTTCTCTTTGCTTGTAACATCTCTTCTATTAGGATGTAACAGGCTCTATTAGAGTAACAGGCTCAGTTCGGTGCTTTTGCATTTTTACTTAATGGCAGACAGACCATTTAATCTGTGCAGTCCTGCCCTTACTTTTCAAGCTTTAATTACACACACTGTAATTAACACTGCCAGCCTTTGTCATCTTTTAGGAGGAAATCAAATTACATACGAATGAATCTGATTCACAGAGAATTATGTCCTCTACACCAGCTATATTACAAATGTTATTTTTTAGAGTACAGCTGCCTGATTTATTTGGAGAAATCACCCTAGTTTTGTGGATGACCCCAAAGGTGAGTTGGATAGAAAATTTTTCAACTCATCAGGTTAAACCAGACACTTTGGGGGAAAAATAGCAAAATATGGCTAACAGCTTTATCACTACCTTTTAAATATTCTCCTTTATAGTTATAGCACAGACCCTAGTCTGTCTGATTTATTAGGATATCCAAGAATAAAGAGTTGAACTCAGGGAACTCTGCCTAAAAACTAACTTGGAAGAAGCCATTTTGAGTCAGAAGCAGAACCTAGTCAAGCACGTAGCAGAAATCCTGCAATTCTTGTGTGCTGTGGGCTTGGATATATTTACCAACTTAACATGCATCATTACTTAGGGAATTGCATTGCAATGCTTCATTATCCTTATATGATTATTCATATCAGAGCTATTTGAATAAACTCTTCCTCTTACTTTCTCATTTGCATCTTTGAATACTGGCATATGCTGGGGGAGAAAAAAGCCTTAAGGAGAATAATCCCATAAATAAATTAGCAGATGCTCAGTTTAAAAACCATGGAATACACAGACACCTATTGAGAGATGACCCTCTGACAGTAATGCTCCAAGTTATTTATGTACAAAAAGGTATACGTCATATACACACCCAGCCCACAGCATGCTATAATTTAACAGAACAACCAACACATGCTTTCAGGGGACTTTACTCTGGTCATATCTTTGAAAATACTTACATAAGAGGTACTTAGAACAAGATAAATGCTACCATTTTCAAGGCAAAAG